TATCAGTTAGAGCTGCCAGAAGAACTGAGTCTGATTGAAAATATGTATCAAATTTGCGAAAATGTTTTGCCGATCCGAGTCTAGCTATACCGATGCCAGAGATTAAATTAGACAGTAAGCTGAACTTTGTGGAAACACCAGAAGCCGTAATTGATCAAAAAATCCGGATGTTGAGAAACAAAGAGATAAGTCTGGTTAAGGTTTAGTGGAAGTTTCATAAAGGACCAAAAGCAACATGGGAACTAGAGTCAAAGATGAGATCGGGATACCCTTGGCTCTTTGATTAAAGGAATTCCGGGACGAAATTCTTTTGAGGGGTGGATAATGTGATAACTGGATCTTCGTTATCACCCAAGGTAATAAATACATGATTATCTGAATTAAATGATTTCGTGATAACATGATAAATTGTTATATTTGATCATGCTAGTGTGCGAAAATTTTATATGCATAATATGTRGGTATATATATATATGAGTATGTGTGCATAATAAGTATTGTGCATGGGTGTATGTATGTAGAGAATATATATGTACGCATGTGTATGAAGTGGGTTAACATGGGAAGGGGGCTGTTTAGCCGACCTTCCAGTTTTAGAAAAATATAAAAGGAGGGCTTAGCCTCCATTTCTCTTCTTCTTGCCATTTTAAAAGTTGAGCGATTTAAAGAGAGAGGGAGTTGACCAGATTTCAAGTATCTGATTTCAAAAAGGTTGTTTTCAAAAGGCTTGTTAAGGTGAGTGATTTCTAAACCTTTTCGCATAAAATTTGTTACTGGTTTTATTTGAATGTTATTTATTATTGGAAAGGAATCAGTTAATTGCTTAAGGGTTTTATCCGGACAAAGGCTGACTGGATTAATTTAAATCGGACAAAGCTTGTCCGAATTATTTTTAAATCGGACAAAGCTTGTCCGGATTATTTTTAAATCGGGTAAGGGTTGAGCGACTTATGATTATTAAGTTTATACCAAGTATTTTGAACGGAGAAGTATGAATACGACTAAATGGTGACAGATTGTTTTAAATTGGTCAAGTCTTAGTCGATGTATTGTCCGAACTTGTTATTCGGACAAAGGCGTTGGAATTTATTCTAAGTGTTAAATCGGACAAGCCTTGGGCGATGAGTTGTCCGGATTTGGTAAACCGGCCAAGACTTGTCCGGAGATGAAGTCCGACCAAGCCTAGGTTAACCGGATTTGAGTTATGCCTTATGCTTTATTGATAAAAATTGTTATTTTATCATAAAATGGAAATTTGRTATAAATGATTTTGGATTGATAATAATTCCAATGGCTATGGTTTATTTGGAATAATTTTTGTGAAATGTTTTGATGAGGAAATAAGGGTGGCATATCAAGGAGAGGTGTACCATTTGATATAAGGGTGGCATATCAAGGAGAGGTGTCCATTTGATATAAGGGTGGCATATCAAGGAGAGGTGTACCATGGGATAAGGGTGGCATATCAAGGAGAGATGTACATTTGATATAAGGGTGGCATTTGTATGTGTGTGGTATCATATAACTCTTTCTATTATATCCCTTAAGGCTATCGTGGTCTGGAATCTTTATTTCTTTGTTATTTAAAGATTTAGGATCAAGGTTCTTATTGGAAATCATAGTCTGGATGTTATTGAGGAGGAAATGACACGTTTGGCCTGAAACTTTATTTAAACCTTGTTTGATTAAGAAAAGGTTTAAAAAGTGGCATTATATGAAACTTGATTGATTTAAAGGTATGAGATTTGAATAGCTTAATGCTTAGCTTGAAAAGTATAAAGGAGTTGGTATTTTGTCCCTATTTGTTCATATATTTGTTATATATATGAATAGTTGTTTTACATAAAGGTTTTGGTGATTTTCACCAAGCAGTAACATAAATAGCGTATCTCACTAGACCTTTCGGTCTAACCCTCGTTTTGTGATTTTAAATATGTATTGCAGGAGGTTCAGACAGTAAAGGAAAATGGAAAATTTGATATTTTCCTTTATGCATTTCGACATGAAGATCTGTCTTGATGTACAGTTTTGATTGATTAGTACAAGAAATGTATTTGAATTTTTGGACCTTGTATTTGGTCATGATAAATTCTTGTACTCAGGGACCTGAATGGGATAATATCATGTATTTCTTTTGTATGAAATATGTGTTACATGCAATGTGTGGTTTGGGGTATTACAGAAAGTGGTATCAGAGCCTGAGTTTAAGGGATTTAGGTATTTAACAGCATGATACCTAGACTTAAACTGTTTTATTGCATGTTAATGGTCCCGGACATAGTTAGCACCATTTGAAATAAATATGATGGGTTGAAGAACAGTGTGTAAGGTAAATTTTAATTACATCTGGCCAGTGAAATTATGAATTTACAGGTACACATCTGAATTTGAATACTTCATTATATTTGGGAATGTGAATACGTTATTATTAACACTAAAATCCGAAGATGTCTAGCCGAACCCGAAGATCTGAAAGAATGGCTCATCCAGAATATGAGGAAAGGGAAGAATCGCCCGTTAATYTTTCAACTAGCATGTCTGGAAATAGAGGTCGGGGAAGAACAAGGGGACGAGGTAGGGGAAGAAGTCAGTCTCAGGGAAAGGGTCAGACCGAAATACATTCTGAACATGAAGAATCTCACTCTGGGAATGTTTAGGAGAGATCGGTGTCACACCCAGAATATGTAACCAGGGATTTGTTGGCATAGGAAATGGGGAAGTTATGGGAAACTCTGACATGTATCATGGGAATACCGGCTAGGGTGGAAACAAAAAGAGTGGAAGTTCATCCTTCTGCTCCAGTCACCCACAACAAGAAAGGAGACATTATGATGTTTTTGGCATGCAAAACCGCCATCCTTTTCTGGGAAGAGAGATGGTTTTTCCCTATTGGAATAAATCTCGTGCAGATGGTTGTACATGGTAATAGATTTCTTACATTTCTTTCTTCTTCTTCCCTTCACTTGTCGGCAGCAGAACCGGTTAAAAACAGTAGCCAACAACTCATAAACCACCAAGTAATTCCAGACTAAGACAATCAGTATAACCATAAAATGTTAATGGGTCATCCTTTCTCCAATGCATAACAAGTGAATGAGTGACTAAATTTTCTGTTGTGGTTGCTTTACAATAAGGATTATTTTTCTTATCGCATATGTCAAAAAACACAACAGAAACTACCCATAATATTAGACATTGTTATATACTTCTTCGTTTCAATTCTCTAAAATGTTTTTGACATTGTCTTTCATGTCACCCTTTCGATCTAACTTGGTTTTCATGAGATTCATCGTGCAAAAATTATTCTAAAAGCCACATTAGGTCAATTATTTATCTTTCTACAACCTGCAGTTTATTGCCATCAATATAAATATGGTTGTTGGGAGTATAGCAACATTGGCCAATAGTTTATGAATGAAAGGACCTTTGCTTTTAAACATGGAGTAACACATCTAATTATGAAAATTATATGGTTTTAATATTCTTGATTATCACTTGGTGGTATGTTTGGAATAGTAAAGAGATATGTTACCATATTTCGATGCACAATGAATTCTTCCTTTATAAAATTGATTGTCTGTTTTATCTTCRAGTTCTTTGAATAATGCATATATGTTATGTTGTTAGTTTTGTCATATGATGGCTGCCATACTGTAAATATGTAATAGAAACCGAGACTTAACATATAAGTAGTGGAACAAACACAACAAATCCTGTTCTGTTGAAGCATCTAATTTTATGACCCATTAACCAAGTTTCAAAGCTCTGAATCCTTTCTCTTGGCTTTCCTCATTTTGCAAACTTCTTTAAATGCTTATCACCAATAGTATATATATTACTAAATAATATATATATATATATATATATATATATATTACTAAATAATATATATATATATATATATCTTGTTATCTTAGTAATTACTACTAGTGATGAAATAGGCTTGTTGTTTTAAACTCAGTCATTGTTGGTTATTACTAAATAATACGTTTAATTATAGTTTTCAAAATTATGGGTATTAGTTATACCCATACCCATGCAATAATAACAAATCCAATTTGATTTATATATTTACATCTTTTATTTTGCAAACCAGCTAAGAAAGGATATTTAAGAAAAATGATGAAACTTCATTTATCATCAACATTTTGGATTAGGAAACAATATGAGATTTATTTATTAGATGAGATTAATTATTAATTATTAATTATTTGTAGAGTGGAATATAGAGTTGGTATTCAGATTGTTTATTTCATGAGCAACAACTAATTCAAGAATTGGAGTTGGACATTTATACAAAATATTAAGCAAAAAAATCAATGGTATAATGGAAAAATGTTTGGGTTGTATGCTCCATCAATAACTAGCTTAATTGGTGCCTTTTGTTATTTATTTATGGGCCAATATGGATAATAGTTGGATGTTGTTACCAAGAATGACTATCGAGTATCAAAGATCCTTGAAAGAATTTCTTGGTCTTATGTTTTCTAACGAGTGTTCAAGTGGGCAGATGTTATGTCCATGCATTAAATGCAGTAATGAGCATGGGTTACTCAGGAGGAGGCTAGAATGCTTCTCATATGCGATGGATTTTTAAAAGGTTATAGAATTACACCTTCTATTTCCCAACCCTTTCGTCCTATATTGGATACACTCGATGACATGCAAGGATTGGTGCATGATGCCTTTGGTATCTTAGATGAAAACATACTTGAAGATGAAATAGACGTAGAAGAGGAAGAACTGGATAAGCCGAATCCAAAAGCAAATTTTTTTTTATAAACTGTTAGAAGATGCAGAGAAAGAACTATATCCCGGATGTGAAAAATTCTCCGTACTTTCATTTATCGTTAGACTATTTCATAGCAAGTGTATAGGGAAATGCAATGACCAAGGTTTCACCATGATGCTTGATACATTGAGGGAGGCATTCCCAAATGCTTCTATTCCCAAGTTATTGTACGAAATGAAAAAGATTATAAAGGATTTGGATCTTAGTTATGAGAAAACATCCTGCAGATTCCCCAGCTTGGAAAACATCTGATTTCCAATATCCTGATTTTGCCAAGGAGCCTCGAAATGTTAGACTTGGTTTAGCAACTGATGGGTTCAATCCTTTTAGCACTATGAGTGTTTCTCATAGTACATGGCCTGTGGTTTTAATTCCATTTAACTTGCCACCATGGATGTGCATGAAACAACCTTATTTTATGCTATCACCCTATGCTCCTGGAAATAACATAGATGTCTATTTAGAACCTTTAGTGGAGGAGTTAAAGGAGTTATGGGATGTTGGAGTGAATACTTATGATGCATCAACCAAGAATAACTTTCAAATGCATGCCTCTTTGTTGTAGACCATAAGTGACTTTCCTGCTTATGCAAATTTATCTGGGTGGAGCACTAAAGGTCAACTAGCATGTCCTTGTTGCCATAAGCATACAAAATCACAACGACTAAAGCATGGAGGAAAATACTGTTACAAGGGGCATCGTCGATTTTTTCCAAAAAGACATGTTTTTCGGAGAGACAAGAAGTCTTTTGATGGCACTAAAGAACATGGAAGGCCGCCACGCCGCTTAACAGGGTCTGATATACTTGATGAGTTAAATGGGTTCGAAATTAAATTTGGGAAACTAGTGAAGGATAATCCAAATCTTCCATTTAACTRGAAGAAGAGAAGTATWTTWTWTGAGTTACCATATTGGAAAGATAATTTGCTATGCCACAATCTTGATGTGATGCATATCGAAAAGAATGTTTGTGATAGTGTGATTGGCACCTTGTTGAATTTTGATGGAAAGACTAAAGATCATATAAAGGCACGTCTTGATTTACAAGAAATGGGCATTAGACCTGAACTTCATCCTAAAGCTTACGATAACGATAAAGTGTACCTGCCTCCAGCTTGTTTCTCAATGGATAAGAAGGAGAAGGAAATATTTTGTAATGTCTTAAAAAAGGTGAAAGTGCCGGATGGATATGCATCTAATATATCAAGATGCGTGCAAGTAAAACCTCCAAAAATACTTGGGCTTAAAAGTCATGATAATCATATTTTGATGCAGCAATTGCTTTCGCTCGCCTTGTGAAAAGTTTTACCTAAGCATGTTCGCTTTCCTTTGATGAAATTATGTTGTTACTATAGATAGTTATGCTTAAAAGTTCTTAGACCTCAAGATTTGGTTGAACTAGAAAACGAGATCGGAAAAACTCTTTGCGATCTAGAGAGGATTTTCCCACCATCGTTCTTCGATGTCATGGTTCATCTTTCAGTTCACCTTGCGTCAAAGGCCAAAATAGGCGGTCCAGTTCATTATCGTTGGATGTATCCAATTGAGAGGTATGTATTTTTTTTTAATTTTTATTAATATTACCAATACAAGTATTATTATTATTTTTTAACTTTTTCATTTTATGAACTTTTAGGTATTTGTCCACATTGAAATCTTATATTCAAAATAGAAGTAAACCCAAGTGTTCGATTGCAGAAGGATATCTAGCTGAAGAGTGTCTTTCCTTTTGTTCATTGTACTTATATGATGATATTGGGTCTAGACATAATAGGACAAGTCGAAATTATGATGATGGTGGTTGTCGGGGTGTTTTACCTCTCTTCTCGATGCCGGGTCTTTCTGTGGGAGCTGTAGAGACACAAACACTGGACCTTGAAACTTTGGCTAAAGCACACTCATATGTGTTGTTTAATTGCAACAAAGTCGATGAATTCATCACGTAAGTCAACAATTATACATCATGAATTTTAGTACAATTAGTGTTTGACTCTTTTAACACTATACTTATACAGTGAGCATCTAAATATTGTTCGTGATCAAAATTGACAATTATGTGAGCATGAATTGCAACGTATTCATGGTAAAACTTTTGCATTATGGTTCCAAAATCATGTAAGTAATGATTAAATTAAATTATCATATTACATTTTATAATTTATGGCAAGTGCTTTTTAAATGATAATATTTTATGTACTCATACTCAGGTTGAGGAATTGCATACTTTAGGGGATCAAAGAATCACAGAGGAACTAAGGGCCTTGGCAGGTGGCCCTATTGAGGTTGTAAGATACAAGGGATTTATCATAAATGGTTTTAGATTTCACACGCAAGAACTTGAGCAGGAGAGAAAAACAAAAAATAGTGGAGTTGTGCTTGATACTAGGACAAATAGCTTCTCAAGCGTTAGAGATAACAATCCTATTATGGGAGATGTAACCTATTATGGAGTCTTGAGAGATATTATTGGGTTAGAGTATTCGATTGACAAAAAAGTAGTGTTGTTTGATTGTGATTGGATCTCAACCGGTAAAAGGAAAAGGGAAGATGAGAATGGGTTTACTCTACTTAATTTTAAAGGCTTGAAGCCTCATAATGAGCCTTTTATACTAGCTTGTCAAGCTCAACAAGTGTTCTACGTGGTGGACCCTGTTGACAAATAGTGGCAAGTTATGATCAAGACAACAACTAGAGATTTTTATGACATGAATGAACAACCATGTCTTGATCATGTTGATACATACTTGCGAAGTGAAGCCTTTAGTTGTCCTCAAGTCGATGAAAGTATGGACATTGATTTGACTAGAGAATGTTTTAGTGGAATTATTGTTGACAAAGATATCCCAATTTTAGATGGAGATGAAGATATTTGATGCCTTGTCATGACTTTGGTTATTATGTGTAAGAACTAGTTATTTACTTTGCATTGTGATTTTTTGTTCAATTTATTATTTATCTTTGGATTTTTGCTAGCAATGTCTTTAAGGATGAAGAACAGAGTGAATTTGGCTCATGGGAATAGTAGTCAACAAGTTCAAGAAGACACAATTAACATAGACTCCAGGCATTTTATTGATGATCCAGGTATATGTGATGTGTAGGTAGATATGTGTCATCTTTTTATAATTATTTTTCAATGATATATTTAAAAAACTATCCACTTTTCTTATTTTAGTTATTGATGGAAGCTCACACAGAAGAGTTAGAGGGCCAACGTATATGCCAAGTATTTGGGCTTGGGAAGAAAGGGATCGTATTCCAGTTCTGTTCAATGAATATGGCCAACCAGTTGACAAGGAAACTACTAATAGTTTGAGTCATTTCATGGGATCTTTGGCAAGAAGTGGAAAGTATTGTCCAGTTGATATTTCATGGCCTCAAGTTAGCACAACTAAGAAAGGAATGTTACTAAACTTTATAGAGGTATATTTGACGTAAATTTGATATATCATGTTATTATTATCTAGACAAAATTTGATCTTCCACTGGGATCCGATGATTGGATTTTAAAATCATTTGCAAAGAAGGTGAGAAATTGGAGGTCAAGAAAAAAGAAAGATTACTATGATCCATCTCTATCACTTCAAGAGCAAATAAAGTCTAAGMCTAAGAGAGTTCGTCCGGATCAATGGATGAACCTTATCAATAATTGGAACAAAGAAGATGCTAAGGTATATTATTTCAAAACAAACTGAAAGTGTCTATACTTTGCTTTGAGTACTGTTGCTTTTGCTGTTTTCTACTTCTCTCTGGTTCCTTTCATTAATGATAAAATCTCTGTTGGGTTTTTGGTCAATACTCTATGCTAGATCATCTATAAACATCAATCTTCTCTTGACCCATTCACTTGTTTTGAGGGACTGTTTGTTGGTTATTTTTGTGTGGTAAATCCTGTAAAAATTCGTAATTTGTAGCCATTTTTTATAATAATGTTATAAAGTATTAGTGTTAATTTTTTTCTTGTTTTGAGGGGCTGTTTGCTGGTTGTTTTTGCATGGTAAATMCTATAAAAAATCGTAATTTGGTAGCCATTTTTTATAATAATGTTATAAAGTATTAGTTTTTCTTGTTTTCAGCGGCTGTTTGCTGGCTGTTTGCTGGCCATTTGCTGGCTGTTTGCTGGCTATTTGCTGGTTAGTGAGTGTGTCGTGATCGGGTGCTAGTCTTCCATATGATATCTTCATTAGGTTTTCAACATCTGTTATATTCCTTTTACATTTGTCTATTAGAAAACTTTTTTGTGAATTTGCTTGTTTCCATGGATATATAATTAACCACTTCTAGCTTATAGCCTTATATGTCATTTTCAGAAAATTAGTGAAAGAAATAAGACTATTAGGGGATATAAGAAGATGATGCAAATTATAGGGAAAAAAAGTTATGCTCGAGTTCGTGAAGAACTAAAGGTAATGTAGTTGATGTAATAAATATGCATATGTATTTACCTAAATATATATCTGGTTTGTTACAAGGAATCTTTGTCGGGACGTGAACCTAGTCGAATGGAGTTGTTTGTTGCGTGTTTTTCTAAAGACGGCATTGCCAAAAATGTCGAAGCTGCAAATGCTATTGTATGTTATATTTATAATTTGTCGATTACATATGCAAGTTTTACTTGAACTATAGATTAGCTTTCACAAGTTTTATCATATTTGTTAGTGATAATTTATTTGACTATAGGAACATATGCTAGACCTTAACTTTCAACTTCCCGAAGGCTAACTTGATGAGCCGGGCCCTAATGATGTATTCTCGAAAGTGATGGGAAAAGACAAACATGGCAGCGCTCGCATGTATGGACTAGGTGTTCGAGGTTCAGATATATGGGGTGTCTTGCCAAGTCGCTCTGCCGGTTATAGGGAGAACATGTTGTGGAAAAGAGCATAGAAAGATGTTAGCAATGAAGTAGCTGAGCTGAAAGCTATGGTTTTAGAGATGCGAGGGTTAAATGAAAATATTTCTAGTACTGTAAGTGTACCCATGACATCAATAAATCGTCAAGCTACCACCGAACTTCAACCTCTAAAGGTAYGTGTCTTTCTAAAACTTAATAAAATCAAGTGTACTTCAAGTGTTCCCGTGCTTTTTTTAATAAAATCTTAGAATCTTAGAATCTTGTTTTTCAATCATGTTTTTGTAGGTTGGGGATGTTGTTCATCTTAAGAGCATCATAAATTCCATAGAAATTGTGGCAAGAGGACGTGTTAAGAGCTTAGATCCAGATGAATTGGTTGGTGGCAAGGAGATTAGTCCGAATTGGTGTGAGGTACATGTTTTGGTTGCTATTAGAAGGAGGGAACGTTTGGTTAGACCATATGGATTGCTTATTACAATTGAAGACGCTATTGAAGCAACAATCGCATAGCTTTGTCCTTTCATTGTGGTATGTTAATCTTTGATAAAGTGTAGAATTTTTTTATTATATAACTGTAAGCTCATGTATCTGTTTTTTAATTGTAGGTTGTGCATGACGGAGATTGATATCTCTAGGGCACAATAAGATTTTGTATTTGCGTTATTCTTTTTCGTTACATAGCTTGGTAGTTGATACTCATATAAATACTTGTAAAACTTCGAATTTTGTTGTATCGAATCACTCTTGTATATGCTTCTAAATGTAATATTACAGTAGGATTATATAATTGGATGATGCATCTCGCATAATAGTCATTTAGGACACTTGTAGTATTAATTATTATAGCCTATTAGGACACTTTTTTAGTATTACTTAGTTCATTTTATAGGACACTAAAATTTGTTTCATAAAAACATTTTTTGGGACATTGAATTTCGTCCTATAAAAACATTTTTTGTGACGCCCATATTTGTTTCTAAATGTAAACATTTTGTGACAACATAAAGTGTCCTATATTATAGTCTATTAGGACACTTTTTAGTGTTACTTAAACCATTTTATAGGACTACGGGTTTTGTATCATAATCCTAGAGTTTTTTAGGACACTCAAATTCATTCTATTAACCTAATATAACACCTTTAGATGAGACACACACATTTTTTGTCCTATAAACTTRAAAGTCCTATTAACTACCTTATTAGGACACTAATGAGTGTCCTATAAAGCCCTTTTTGTTGTAGTGTGATAATATCTATGATTAACACCCTCCACAATAAAAATGATTAATCAACCTCTCATAATTACAAAAAAATGAACAAAATGAAAAATTATGATTGGTTGAATGAGGT